TGCAAGTGTCGGACCTGGTGGCTTGCTTTCTCACTTCTCTCCCTCTCTCTGTCTCTCTGACCAAACTGGAAAATAATAATGATAATAATAATAAATAAAGTTAAATAAAATAATTAAAAATAAATAAGTAAATAAAATAACTCTTTAAAAATAATTCATTGAAGGGGCCAGGTGGCAGAGTGGTGCTGGACTTTCACATGGCTGACCGCGATTCAAGTTTAGGACCCAGTGTTTTGTTTTTGTTTTTTGTTTTTGTTTTTGTTTTGAGAGTTTTTTTTTCACTATAGGGCGCGTGCGCTTGCCAGACAGACAGAGAGAGACATAGAGACAGAAAGTGAGAAATCACCCCCCAGGGGGGATGGTCACGCTGCAATCCCTTCTCCTCCATTCTCCTCTCAGGATCCTGGGCACGCACGCACACGTGCCCGGCGTGAGTTCCAAGCCACCATGTCTGGGACGCGAACTGCGGTCGACTGCGTGGGAATCCAGCGACATAGCCATTACGCTAACTGCTGGTTCCCCTGGACCCAGTGGTTTAAAAATCACACCAGGCACACATGCGTGTGTGCCCAAAATCCCAGGAAGAGAATAAAGAAGGGGTTGTGGTGTGGCCAAGCCCCCTGGGAGGTGATGTCTCACTTTCCCTCTCCTTATCTCGCTCTGCTGAGCTCATGCGCCCTATGGCAAAAATATTACATATATATTATGATTGGAAAGTTCCAGAAGTAATTAATATGTTTAAAATTGCAGTGTTCTAAGTGGTGTGATGAAATCTTGTGCTGTCCTGTTCCATTCTGCTTGGGATATCGATAATCTCTTTGTTCAGAATATCCACTTTAAATACCTACCCATTAGCCTCTGAGTAGACTTTCTTGCTTATCAAATGAAAAACATAGTATATACTGTGTGTGGTTTGTTAATATTTACAGTTTGGGGCATCCATCAGGATCTTGGAACAAATCCTACATAGGTAAGGGGGGAGCCTACTCTATCTACTCTCTTCTTCCTCCGCTAGTCTTTTCTAAGCCCAAGAATGTCACATTTGACCAACTCAACCTAGAAAAATGTGTCCCTGATGACAAGTTCTAAGCCAGAAGTTGGGACACATGATCTGGTGCAAGTTTCTGGTAACACTTCTCAGTGAAAAAAAAAAAAAAAAGTCTGAAAATTGCGATTAGGACACAGGTTGGAATTATTGGGATGTTTCTTTGTTTGTTTGTTTTTCTTCTGAGTAAAGTTCATGAAGTTATTTTCATTTCAAACATAATATATGTTCTTTGCAGAAAACTGAACAAGCCCGAACAAGGAAGCAAAATTCTGTGTAACCCTTGACAGTGTTGGAGATTTTTTTGTTATAGAGTGTGTATATTTGCCAGAGACA